GGAAATGCTTAATGGCGCAAAGAGGCTGTTAAATCTAATGTACATTTGGAAAAAAAAGGCGAGCCTGTCAGTTGCTGAGCGGCAGAAGGAAAACAGCAGCCTTAATGAAGGTGACGGGGCCGGCTGGATTTGTAAATAAGATTGTGGGCCCTCAGCCAATTGCTCTGCACCGCTGGTGGGAGAGTCCCCCTGTGCCAGCTGCAGGCTGGCTGGCATCCAAAACCCTGCCTCGGGCAAGCATATTTCTTGGCCATGCCCTGCTGCTCTCTCGGAGGGGGGAGGAGCAGGAGGAGCCCCCCTAAGTGGAAAATGGAGGCCTATTTCCTCTTTCTTCATCAGAAAGGTGCTTTTAAGAAAAACGTTGGAAACCTTTTTCATTAGACTAGGTTTAGTTAGTTTCCTTTTTAAAAAATCCTGCAGAAACTAAAAAGATTATTTAATCACAGCTTATTATGTCCCCTAAGTCATTTTAAACCCTGCCACCCTAATGATGCAAATGCAGCACAGTATTTATTTATTGCTCTTATTTAAGCGGATTTAAAAAGCTGAAGATTGCCCGATGTTTGCTAAACTCAGGTTGAAAAGTGCAAAAAAAACCCCCAAACAATAGAAACCAATATTCTTTACCTGAACACGATTTGCAATCTTGGGCCAAGAGCAAATTAAAACTTACATATTACTTGAAGTGATGGACTGAGGGAATATCAGTATTTCCACTTCCACTAATAAAAATTAAGAAAAGTGGGATTTTTTTTTCTACTGACTTAGAGAGATGATCAAAATTAAGGAGGGAGGTTCAAAGTAGATATCAGATTTTCGTATATAACAAAATAACAGTCTTGGAAGGGACCTTGGAGATCTTCTAGTCTAGTCCCCTGCTCAAGCAGGAGTCCTTATGCCATTCCAGACAAATGGTTGTCCAGTCTCTTCTTTAAAACCTCCAGTGATGGAGCATCCACAACTTCTGGAGGGAAGCTGTTCCACTCGTTAACTGTTCTTACAGTCAGGAAATTTCTCCTTAGTTCTAGACTGCTTCTCTCCTTGATTAGTTTCCATCCATTGCTTCTTGTCTTGCCCTCTGTGGTGCATTGGAAAATACATTGACCCCCTCTTCTTTGTGGCAGCCCCTCAAATACTGGAACTCTGCTATCATGTCACCCTGATTCTTGTTTTTATTGGACTAGACATACCCAATTCCCGCAACTGTTCTTTATATGTTTTCACCTCCAGCCCTTTACTCATCTTTGTTTCTTTCTCCTGCACTCTTTCTAGACTCTCAACATCATTTTCATATTGTGGCGACCAAAACTGGATACGATACTCTAGGTATGGACTTTCCAAAGTATTATAAAGTGATACTAAACTTCATATGATCTTGATACTATTTCTCTGTTAGAATTTGCATGTCAGTCAGTGGGATACGGTCCAGATGAGGGGGCAGAGGTGCTCATCCCTCAAGTACTCCTTTGGGTCTTACACTAAACCAGGAGACTGACTAGATGACGTCTATGGCCCTTCCAGTTATACGATTTCCTGAAATGTTGGAGAAAGACGTAATACAGTAATGGTTACACTTTCATAAAAGGAGAGCTTAGATCAGAGGTCTTCAAACTTGGCCCAGTGTCTGGTTTGTGAGCCCGTTTGCTCTTCTCAGCATGAAGCAAAGACCTGCTTCTTAAACTGCATTTGAATTAATAAAATCTGTGCCTTTCTATTATTGTACTGTGCTTCTAGTAGCACAGGAATCTCATTTTATTGTTCCATATTTTAGGGATTCTGGTTGTTCTAAAATCAAAGAATATTTGAATGTAATAGTTGAAGGGGACTTTGAAGGAAGGGTAGCCCCTGTGCAGGAATCCACTAAGGCAACAATATGTTCAGGGTTGGTATTGGTAGGTGGGTTATAGTATTAAAAAAGAAAATTAATAAAATTATGATTGAGATGGATTCATTTTACCAATCATATAAGTAATGCATCTCATATGTCAAGTATAGTTATACTTAATATGATCACCCAATTTCTAAAACTGAGGATAAAGTAAGTATTTTTGTTCAAGATTTCTTTGTTTAAAGAATGGAAAACTCATTTTGAATGTGATGTTGGTGCTATTTTTATCCTATAACACCTTCTATGTTATTCACATAACATTCCGTTAAACATTTTGATTTAAAAAAGAGTGATTAAAAACATAGAAAACTAATGGCAGAAAAAAAACCAAGGATCCATTGAATCTGCCCTTTGAGTTTTTGTTTGTTTGCTTTTTGTTTTCTTATGAATTAATTAAATTAATTCATTTTACTCATTATTTTAATTAATCCATCTTTTTATTCTTTTATTTTGCATTTATTTATTTTTAATTTTTCGTCAAGCATGTTTAAACTCAGTTGCTGATATTGACCCACTATTTCTGTTAGAAGTTGGTTCCAGGCTTTCACTATTCTTTCTGTGACGTGACATTTTCTACCTTGACTTTTGAACGTACCTTCTGTCCGTTTAAGGTTATGGCCCTGGATTCTTGATTTTTGCTTACTATTGAAAAAAACGCCTTCTTGAACCTTATCCAAACCTTTAATATATTTAAAGGTTTCAGTCACATCCTGCTGAATGCAGCTGGGTGTGTTATGCATACCCAGCCCCAAAACATGAATTGAAGGGGGGGAGAGAGAGACTGGGGGAGGGGCTTGAGAGCTTACTATGCTGGGGGGGAGGGGAAGCCTGCTCTTAGCAGACCTGCTTCTGCCAGCTTGGTGATCCTTGCAAAACAGAAGAAGCCCTGCACATCCAGACCCCTCCAGAGACACGGCTGAGTTGCAAACTTGTCTGCTCTTTGCTGAGCCCACGTTAATGGGTGTTTGCCTTCCCATCCATCTTGCACAGCCTTTGTGGCCAGGAACTTCCCAGCCTCTGTCCCTGGACTTCAGCATCTGAGTGCTCAACAAGGATTGCTTCAGGAGATGCAGTCAGGAATACCCCGTGGGTAGAACGTTTCTGAAATGCTGCTGCATTAATCATGTGGCAGAGTGTGGGCTCTATGTTTTATTGAAAAGTCTGCCTGCCGTTGAAAAATAGAGAACAGTCGCCATTTCAAACCAAGGCTTAGAGGCATATTCTTCTGTGCACAACCCCAAAATCTCTTTTCTATCTGAGCAAAAATTATTTCTTTGCTTGTCCAGAAATGATTTTAAGAGCAGCAGTAGCAGAAGTTCTCCAAAAGATATTGTTATGCACACACAAGCACACACACACACACACACACACACACACACACACACACACAAAACCAGCTAAGGATCTTGGTTGTTCATTTAGGATTATAAGTTCACCTGGACGTCAGCTGAATCCCTTCACTGGAAGAGGAACAGCTGATCATGAGTTGACTGAGCGTGAGCCGTTAGCTTCTCAGGCACAAATAATAAATGGCTGCTAGACCAGCTGCATGTCCTGTAAATGGTGACTAAGCAAGAAGTACATTTGTGAAGTGCACAATCTGGACAATATATATGGGATTCATTCAAGGGCTGCTGTCAGGCACCAGAAACCAGGAGCCAGAATGGAGTTCAAAAACACGGTGACTTTATTCCATGCAACCTATCCACAAGAAATCTGATCTACTAACGGTCAATGTGAACTGGCGTCAGATAAGAGTCAATGGATTTCATGGGGGAAGGTGGACTTAACTCTCTTATGGGGGTGGCATAGAGATTCCAAACTGATAATGCCTTTGACCCCGCCCTTGGGCTCCACCTGGTCATCTCCTACAGCTTCACAGCAGATGTATCGTCCTCCTTCCTCAAGGATGGGAAGAGGTCATCCATGAAAAAGGCTCCTCCATACGTCTCAGCCTCACGCCCGACTGTAATCTGCATCTCAGACTGGATAGGAATCTTAAACTCTCCTCTCTGTTAAGGGCACAGCAGGGAAATGATGGAACCATTTAGGGCAGTTAACACCTTCTGTCCCCTATGTGTCAAAGCTGGCTACAGGAGTTTCTTTCCCTGGTTTAATTTAATTTCTATCATCTTAAAAAAGAAGAACTAACAGTCCTTTCTGTCACTACTCAAAAAACATCTTCTTGGCAAACATGACACAACTTCGAAGATGACATTTTAATTTCCTTTACCAGACTGCTTTCTACAGATTGTCTTGAAGTAGGAAAATGTCTCATTTAATTTAAATGCTTGCATTTCTTTCATGAATTAGAGAAGCCTCATTTATATGCCGAATAGTTTTGAAAACGTGTATGTTTTGTTTTCAAACGGGTTACGGTAGTCTTCAGCATCAGTCTGTACTTTAACAGAGATCCCTTCTCTTTCTTCTCCTCCTCTTTCCTTGAAAATTCCAAGGATCTCTGTTTTTTTAAAAGACTAGGCAACCCATGCATGTTTTTAGAGATAGATAGATGTTACAGTCAGCATTAGCTATTCAGTAAATGACACCTCTGTGAGCACCAATGACTCTCTAGTCTAGCTTCTCTCCCCTTCCCCTCTTAATACATCTCCTTACTCAGGGTGAATACTAACAGCCAGGTAGGAAGCTGTACTTCACCCAGAGAAATAATGCGGGTATTTTGTTCTGAATGAAAATTCACTCATTTTTTCATGCGTTTCATTCAAAGTGAGCAATACCCACATAGATAGGCCCAGGAAGAAAACAGTGAGAAATGAAATAGACAAGGGGCTAGAGGCCCTGGGTCTTTTTTCACTGAAATTCAGGCTAGTGGAATGCAAAACATCAAAGTTTTACTGAGAAATACAGTGAAAGAATTCTTGGTGACTTTTTCTCATCTTTTCAGAAGAACCTCTGCCACGCACTAAAAGCGCCCATATCCCTCTTCCATTTTTATCTTCTTTGAAAAGGATCTGGTCATAACACCAATTTCACCTGACCATGAGATGTTGCTTCATCACCATGGCAACTGGAATTGTATCCATGGTAATAGTGGTCAGGTGACTACTGTATCATCATCCCACTAGTTCTAAAGAAGATGATGATTAAGGATGGATGGGAAAGTCTACCGTAGTTTATATTGGCACTGCACACTGGGGTGTTTAAGTGAAAGGAAGATGGCAGAAATCAGCAAGAAGGTAAGCTGACCTTCCTTTTGTCTTGTACTCCAAATCCCTACCAGAATTTGGGACCTAAACAGCCCCAAATTGTGATCTGACATCATGCCTTTAAGGTAGATCTGAAGCCAAAGGCTTTTGGCCCAACTGAACTGAAGTCACCTTCAAGTCAAGCTAGACCTCTGTTTGTGTCGAAGATACGTGCAGGCAATTTTCTGACTACAGAAATACTTCTGCATACAGAAGTAGATTTTTAAAAATTTAACAGTTTGGAAGTTTCCAATCCAAATACTAACCAAACCTAATCTTGCAGAGTTTCCCTCCCAAAATGTATCAGAAGTTTCCTGTCTCAGAAGCCTTTGCATCCTCAGCCTGCTATCCATTCTCCCATTATAAGGCAATTGGATGTTCTGTGCTTCTGAAAAGCCCACAAGTGTCTTTGCTGCTATTTTAATTAGCTGTTTTGTGTTGATTGAGCATTTAAGAGAAGGGCGCATTAGGCATCTTTTTCCATTAGTTCTTTAAAGTGTCACCCAAGTGCCTGGCCACTAAGATTTGCCATCTGTCTCCATCATGCTGGCCTTGGTCCATCCCAAAGGGGCTACTTACGTACAGAAGAGGAAGAGAGAAAGAGACTTCATTGTTTTTTCCATGGCAGATTGAGCGTGGGATTCCACTAAGGAAGGGCAGCCCATGAAAAACGGCCCCAGGGCTCACGGTGACTATAATCTAATGGCACCCTCTGTGTTCAGAGGCAGTCAGATTGCCAAATGCTGGGGAGCCACAGTAAGCATCTGGATGGCATGGTAGGAGCACCAAGAAAACCCAAGAGGAAGCAAACAAAAGAAATGGCTGATGATCATTGTGGAGAGGAATTACAAATTGCTTTAGAATCTACCTGCAGACTGGGCAACCAGGATACAGCCCAGTGTTTAGGCTATCTGGATGGCCTTAGAAGTACACGGCTCTCAGGAATCAGTCAGTTCTCACAATTGTCAACACAGAGGCAATCAATAGACATCTGTTGTTGCTGTTGTTGAAGGATCCAAGTGTTCCATCATATGGATGCCCCATCAAGGACTTTAAGCTTCTCAACAGGACCAAGCTGCTAAATTGGCTGGAAGCATCACCTGAGCGGTCCCAGCCAGGATGGGCATCGACAGTGCTTTTCAGTTCAGGTTGGGCAAGGCTGACCTAAAAAAGTTCTTTGCAATGCAGTCACTCTGCAGCACTGTTTTAGCTGCCTCTGCCGTGCTCTGTTAAGGCACAACGAGGCTCAGAGGAAAAATCAGCCGCCTGGCTTTTTCGTAATAGCAATATTCCTGGCAATTAAGCAGTTGGTTGCAGGGACTCCAGGGGCTTTTTCTGCAGAAATTGTACATCTGTGCTTCGCTGTAGCCTCCCCATTTTATCTGCATTTGGGATCGTCCCTGGTGCAAAGCACTCAAATTGCCAAGCCCAGCCTTTAGGCAGTGTTTCTGGTCCATACTTAGGCAGGTTCAAGACTCACGGTCCCTTTCACATACATGCTCACACATGCCTGCCATGTGTGTGTTTGTGTGTGTGTAGCTCTTTCACTGCAAAGGACATGAAGATCGGAGCTTTGGAACTGGGCATGTCTGAGGACCTTCCTCCAGTAGTAGCAACTGCTTGAAGATTAGACAACGGCTGCTTCCAAGTTGCACAGCTAATTAGAAGCAAAGGGCAGCTTGTCGCTTTTGCAGGAGAGGAAATTTGGTAAGATTTTAAAAGTCTCCCAAAATGTCACTCATATGTTCTGTTATTTATTTATTTATTTATTTATTTATGAGACTTATATACCGCTTTAAGTGCAAGCACTCTCTAAGCGGTGTACACCAGTAAACAATGTATATATATATATATATATATATATATATATTTACATTGCCCCCAACAATCTGGGTCCTCATTTTACCTACCCCGGAAGGATGGAAGGCTGAGTCAACCTTGAGCCGGTGAGATTTGAACCGCTGACCTGCTGAACACAGTCAGCTAAGGTGGCCTGCAGTACTGCACTCTAACTGCTGCGCCACCTCAGCTCATAATAGTGGTATTCCAAAATTCCCTATTGTGGACCTTGTCTGGCTTACTTAGCTTGGAACTTGCACCGGAGCAGTTCATGATCGGCTCCACCCATTAGCACTTGGCCATGTCTTTGATGCTATAATGGAGCTCCACCACCTCCTTTTAACAATAAATAGTCGGTTTGACTTCTATATACCCCATCTGGTGATGTCCAGGCATAGAGACATCATTTGAAGTCAGCTTACTACAGGAAAGAGCAATCCAGTCAGTGACAGACAGAGTGTCATTTAATCTGGTTTAAGAAGAGATTGGACAGCCATCTGTCTGAAATGGTGTAGGGTTTCTTGCTTGAGCAAGGATTTAGATTGAAGTCCCTTCCAATTCTGCTATTCTGTTATAGTTTGCCTTACAAGGGTTGAGTTGGAGTCCCTTCTGCTGCCATTTTCAATCAGGCACTAGAGAAACTGAAAGGAATTCATCCATCAAGTGTTTCTGGAAAACTTCACCAATATGAAATTTACATGACTGAAGCTATTTTTTAAATTAATCTATTGGAGCAAAGCTAGAGAAAATCATAACATACACCAACTCTTCTTTTTATAAAACAATATAGATTAGAATTACACAAAATACTCTGTTTAAATATAGTTGGATCAAGCTCCTTCCATTCTTTTGTACTGATTGCTTCCTGGTTGTTTGAGGGACTGCCTCTCTCCAGAAACATCTGCCCATCCAGTTTGATCCTCCAGGATTCTTTCGATGAAACGGCACCATCTCTCTGGAGCTGGCAGCACCCCTTCACTCTCACAGCACCTGCCTTTTGGAACAAGGTTGCCCCAAGATCTGGATGGCCCCCTCTGTGTTGTTTTGAAGGGGTCTGAAGACCTGGCTCTTGACCCAGGATATTGGGAAACATGTCTGATGTCTGGGTATTTTTTCCCCCTCTTTCTTCTGCTATCTTTGTTCTGTTTTGTTTTGTGTTGTTTTCTTTTTAAAAAATATTTTTAACAATTTGTAAGGAATGCCACTTTGCTGTAGAGCAGGGATCTCCAAACCTGGCAACTTTAAGTCATGTGGACTTCAACTCCCAGAATTCACCAGCCCTGGTGTAGAGGCTAGAAACCTGGAGACAGTTCCAGTCCTTACTTGGGCACAAAGCCAGCTGGGTGACCTTGGGCCAGGCACTTTTCCTTAGCCCCAGGAAGCAGGCAATGGCAAACCACTTCTGAAAACCTTGCCAAGAAAATGGCAGAGACTTGTCCATGATGGAATGGAAGAAAAAAAAAAATATTGTAAACCAAGCAGAGTTGCTGGGAGTCAGGCAGCATTTGAATTTAATAAACTTTTATTGTTATACAAGCATAACCCAAACACTGGAAGTGGCTTACCATTTCTGCTCTATTCTAACATAGACTTATTTTTCATCCTGGCATGAGTAAGTTGTAGCAATATTTGTCCTTAGATCATTTGTAAAGAAATCAAAGTTACCTTCGATGCAGCCAGTATGTAGAAATATTTTCATACACACAACATAGAAATATTTCCACATGATATTAATGGCCCAATCAAGTAATAAAAATACTTTTTTCCTCTTGATGTTCTTGGTCTTTTTACTGTTGAAAAACTGAGGGGGGGGGAGAAACGCAGCCATTTGTAACATCAGTTTACAAAAATCTATTAAAAAGTATTGCCATCTATTTCTTCTATAGTATAAACATATTAATATGTAATGAGACAATAAATATTAATAAGAGCTCATATCTGGAGAAATAGGAGTTTACGTCTCCTTAGAGTTTAATTAACACAAAGACTATATTAGTTCTGAGTTTTCTCCTGGGCTAAGACATCAGATCAGGAAATGCTGATGAACGTAATGAAGTTAGGAAAAGATTTGTAACTACAGCTTCTCCTTCCCACTCAGGCCTTCCGTTTGTGAGAAAGGAGTTTTTATTTTAAAAAAACATCAAAAGCTAAAATACGTTTTAGCATTGTTCCTCAGCCCCCAGCAGGAAATTATTAATTTAAATGCCTTTGTAACAAATCATTGTATTATAATTGTTTGGCACTTCTGTTTTCCTAGAATGCGTATCTCCAGAATCTTGATAAAACAGTGATATTTTCAATGTTCTTGACAAGCTGGAATCAAGGGAAATGCCCAATGGCAGATTTCCATGTTGCTTCTCTATCTGATCAGTTTCCAGCCATTGTTTCTCGTCCTGCCCTCTGGTGCTTTGGAGAATAGTTTGACCCCCCCCCCCCTTTTGTGGCAGCCTCTCAAATACTGGAATACAACTATCATGTCGCCTCTATTTCTTCTTTTCTTTAGACTAGCCAAAGCCAAGTCCTGCAGCCGTTCTTCATATGTTTTAGTCTCCAGGCCTTTGATCATCTTAGTTGCTCTTCTATGATTTTTTTCCAAACTCTCAACATATTTTTTGTGATATGGTGACCAAAATTGGCTGCAGTATTCCTGGTGTGGCCTTACTAGGGTTTTATAAAGCGGTACTAATACTTTGTGTGATCTTGAGTCTATTCCTCTGTTTATACAGCCCAGGATTGTGTTAGCTTTTTTGGCTGGTGCTGCACATGGCTGGCTCATGGTCAAGTGATTGTCCACTAGGACTCCAAGGTCCCTCTCACAGTTACAGCAGAAACCTTTCTCAGAAATATTAAAAGGCCAACCTAATGTTTAGGGAACAGTATAAAAAGGTAGTCTTTCATGTTCTGTATTCTAATTTTCTGTAGGAAGTTCTCATGGTCATTTCAGAAGAGAAATATTTTAACTTTCCCTATCAGCCTGAAAATCCCCTTCTCCTAAATATATTTGTAAGAGAAGAGGACTTAACTGCATTGTGTTATGCATGTCAGGGTTGCAAATAACCTTTTGCAATATTGTTGTGTCAGCCAGTCTGATTGTACAACAGTCTTATCATGAGAGGCTGAAGCCCACTTGGGTGGGCAAGCTGTCAACTGGC